CCCCCCACACACACACAAAAAAAAGGCAATGAAATCAAAACTCACAGAGTAACTGAATAGGAAAGCACTGACTTACGAATGATATTTGCTCACAAATGTAGAAATTTTTAATCTGAAATGCTATAATGCAATTTCATTCGATGAGGAAAAATTGGAAGTGCTAATATATCACTACAGTTTGAGTGTGAGCAAATCACAAAGTATTGAAATTTTTTTTTTTCCAGCAAATCCGCATATGAGTAACTTCCGTGATGCAGAACTTGTTGAAGCCAGCACCATCGAGAAAGGAGTTCATCAGCGCATGAAAATGTTTTCTCTCATGAACCAAAACTTTCGCTTCCTCTGAAACATCTTGCCTGATTCCAAACAAAGATCACTGGTGCAACTTGCTGCGAAGATTGTATCCCCAGATTACCAGGTGGTATCAGACATTCTTTACCACTTAGCTGACCCCCCAGATTCATTATCTTCAATATCTCTACTCACTTTGGTGGCTTGCTAATGGAGTGGAGGTATATCGAGACAGAAACAACTCCGAAAGAGAAGCCAACAAAATTAGGGTTTATGCCCACCTGCCCATTTGAAGACAGAAACAACTCTGAAAGAGAAGCCAACAAAATTAGGGTTTATGCCCACCTGCCCATTTGAAGGCATGAGATTTTTGCTCGAATCAAGACAATAATCATTAACAATATAGTACTTACGTAGATCCAAGAAAGAATGCAAGGGAGAGATGAAACCGAAACAGGAATACCAATACAATTGCAGTCAGAAGCATTGCCACAGAAGTCGAATATACCTGTAGATAAATCCATGAGATCTGCACATCTAAAGGAGGAGGAAGGACAGAGAAATAAACCATTTGTGTTAAATCTTATTCAACTACTTTGAATGCTTCTACAGATGAAAGATGTAAAAAATTGATACCTAGGCTTAAAGTGCACAAAATTTAGGTTTATTTGCATATATACCCCTTAAATCATGGGTACTCGCAAAATCCCCCCTCAAATCTCTGTATTTGCAAAACTACCCTCAAATCATCAATTTTGGATAAAATAAACCCCAAATCTATCAATCATCAACTTTGATAGGCTAATTTGTAGTTGCGATGTAAGAATTGTCAAGAAAATCGTCAAATTTTTATTATTAAGTTGATGGTTGTTGATTTTAGGGGTATTTTCTCCGAAAGTTGATAATTTGCGGGATAGTTTTGCAAACACTAAAATTTGCGGGGAAGTTTTGCATATATTCATGATTTAAGAGGTAAATATGCAAATAACCCAACATTTTATTACGTAGTGAAAGAAGCTCAGATAATTTGCGGGATAGTTGATTTTAGGGGTATTTTCTCCGAAAGTTGATAATTTGCGGGATAGTTTTGCAAACACTAAAATTTGAGGGGAAGTTTTGCATATATTCATGATTTAAGAGGTAAATATGCAAATAACCCAACATTTTATTACGTAGTGAAAGAAGCTCAGATATGACAACAGTTTCTGACCTTTCTTAGCCTACTTCTGTTTATTTTCCTGTTCGTTGATAACATAGCACTTTTGCCTAACAGGTAACCAGAATTTTTTTAACCTGAAACATTTAATCGGGAGACAAAATTGACCTTGTCACCACACACCAGCATTAGCCACTCTTCCCTAATGGAAACAAGATGAAGGTACTACCAGTATTTAGAGGTGGCATTCATATTCGTTCGAGGAGAAAAGAAATTAACGACTACTACCAATCTGCTTCATGTTTTTATACTTCAAACCAAGAAAAAAGTAATGACTATTGCTTCATGCTTTTATACTTCAAACAAAGAATTGAGTTAATTACCCTATACCAAACTTTTGTTTTCCTTTAAGCCTAAAGGATGGGTTAGTATGCCTCCAGACCTTCTGCATAATCTTTTCCCTCACAAGATCGTAAAAAGATCCATTTTAGAAACAACAAAACTACCATTAAGCATTTTACAACCAGTGCTTTATGTCAATCAGAACGGTTATATATAAAAAAGAGAATAATATATATTGCTTATTCTAATTGGAATTATGAGGTAATGATATCTCCTAGCGGTCTCAAAAGTTCAGCTTCTTTTAGGGTGTAAAAAAAAATTTGATCTGTAATGCTGTGGTCATACAGCCATTGGCGTAACATACTTGAAGGGAAAACCGAAACCCCCACCACATCTTTACTAACCAACACTACCATGCTTTGTTTAAATGCATTTGATCAGAGGTCAAGATCAATATCTACAGATATAGGTCAAGGTAGCTCATGAATTTACTTCTTCTAATGGAATTTACCATTTCACAAATGAATTTCTGAAAGTTATAATATTTACCTTTACAATGTTATCTGCATATTTCATTACCATGGATACAGCAATTCCACTGCAAATATACTGAAGCCAGAATACTGAAGAGATGTGAAATATTGCGAGAAGCATTTAATATAACTTTTACCTGAGAACATGATTTAGAATCATGCAAACAGTGATGAAAGAATAACCATGGAAGAAACCTCTGCAAGACAAAATATATTGGAAAAAAATCCAATATGAATGCTAAATTCAAGATAATAAATGCAGGATGAAATGTCATATATGAAAGCAGAGGAATGCTTCAAGCTTACTTGTTCATGACTGCATCATAGTCCTAAATGGAAATAGCAATCAGGTTAAAAACCATGCCAAATATGTACAACCAGAAATTTTGTACATTAATATTTCTGGAAGGACGTTTCTTTAATCCTTCATTTTGAATGAGAAAGTTAAGAATCGTTCACAATAGGTGACTGAATTGATAAGAGTTTAAAGGTAATAGAAATGGGCATACAAAAATGCATTATGTACCACTCTATTGATTATCCACCCTATTTATTCTGGAAGATAACGTCAGAGGAACTGCTTGCTTCCAGATAAGATTTGCACCAGTTATACAGATTTTTAAGGGAAAAAGCATATCATTTGGGACTTCCCACCAACTCATCAACTGATGAAGATTCTAGGCTGGAGATCAAAAAATTACTGAGGCAGATATGAATAGAAGGAACAGAGTGGTTTTTGACATTACAGGTTTCCCAAAAATGTTTTTAATGTTACCAAAAAAGGCTAGTGAGCCGCACAATGCCAGGGACACGTGAGCAAAAGAAGATCTATTTTGGGGGTGGGGAAATCTCTCCTTTTATGTAGCTGTACATCCTGCAAGCAACACTGATGGGCTGCTTGAGACATTATGCGAGTACCAGGCAGTAGATTTTTGGGTTAAAAAGTAATGCAATAGAAACATCAATACATAACAAGAGATACCTACACAACAAATTCTAGAACAGTCTATATGAAATAATATGCATGTAAAGTAGTGTTGCATCCTATTTTGTCCTTCAAAAGGAAAGTTTGTATGTGCTGTTTGATACTCCATATGTCAACCTGGAAAAGCCTGCAGAAGCCAGGAAGTTTAACTACCTAGATGGATGTTCCTGAGCTGTCCCTATGAACTAAAGAGGATTCCTTTCTCGTAATCTATATTCTATAACAATTACAACGCTATCTGTCCATTTCTCAACACCAACGTGCTGACACATAATATGCGAGTAATGCTCAGGTAGACAAACTGCTGAGAAGGAACTGCAGGTGAACTCCTGGTCAATTATGCAAGGGACAAGTGATAGATTGCTGGGTGCAGGAGTGTATTAATTCTGAGTAGCATGGATGCATATATGACATGCATATGCAATAAAAATTTTAGAATAGTATCCACGGAACAACATGACATGGGAAGAAGTGCTTGCTCATACACTTATAATAGAAGGTATGCACAGAGGTTGACACGTCCTGTGTGGAAGAAGCCTGGAGCGAGCAATGGAGGAAATTTAAGAAGGCTAGTGATCTTCCTACTTTGATGTGAGTACTCTCTTCCAGTAAGAAATCTGATATTACAACTCTTTCACTCCATTTTCACCAACAACCTGCTATCCATGAAGCCCTATGTTTGGCCAGATAGCCAGCTGATAGCCACACTAATGCAAAGTGTGCATGACTGACAAGGTCTGATAATGAGCTGATACGAGTTGCCGTGCGAGCACCCTTTGGTCGCGGAATTACCAAAAGGTGGGTTGAGAAGAGGATGACCAAACACAAGAACAATTCAGTATAAGGCGAAGGAAAATACCTTCTCTAGATTATGAAGAACAAAAGATTACAATCTCTCCCTCACAATCTCACTAGAATCGAGAACAACCTCTCAACTCTCTCTCTAAACCCTAATACAATTATTTAGAATTTCTCTTGATCACTTCTCTCTGAGATCTGATTGTTTAGAACCCTAAAACAATCCTATTTATAGATGTGCAAACGTGGATGGCAACCCTTTAGGACTACATCTTGGCTTCTAACCTTCTTCCTTAGAAACCCTATACAATCTCTATTTATAGGGTTTTACAACGTGGTGGCAATCTTGTAAATAAACAAGTCCAAAAGAATCAGGAATCCCTGTCAAAACAGAATCCAAAACGAAACAGGAAACCCAGAAATCGCGATCCGGTCGACCGCCAGGCTTGGTCCGGTCGACCGGCCAGAGAGTTTTCTCAAACCCTGCATCGTGCAGGTTTTCCGGTCGACCGGCATGTGTGCTGCGGTCGACCGGCCAGAGATCTGCCAGTTTACCCTGTTCTTTTGCGTTTCGCTCCTGTTGACTTCTTTCGCCGTCTTCTTTAGCTCCAACCACACCTCTATTCTCAAGATATCATGAAAATCACCTATCCTCAAGCTCCCATGAGGATTGCTTTTCCGAAGAGAAGATACACCCGTATCATGAGCAGATCTGTGAGGTAAACTTTCCTACAATTGCCAGTTACTATGGAGATGGAAACAAGCAGCACCGTGAAAAGAAGAGCAGTTTGATATCCTAGTAGGCTAGTACACAGGCCAAAACATAATGATCTTTTAGACAGTTAAGACGTTTGCCTAATGGTTACTACTGTTGGTTATCCATATGAACACATGCACTTTGCTGACTTGTGAACTCATATATAGCCACATCCTATGCGTAGCAAAAGATGCACCCCCCCCCCATGCGGGAAAAAACCCACAAAAAAAAAGCAAAATACAGGTGAAGCAACTGCTTCAACAGAAACAGTTTGAATAAGTACCTCTGTATATACCCCAGCAAAGCCACTAAGAAGTGCCATGATCTGGAACAATACACCATTGTTAACATCCATTTCAATGTACTACTAAATAAAATATAAAGTCAAAGTTGAAACCTAACAGTTACCTGTACTCCTAATGGCCATCATCCACCCCTGAAAAGGTGTTTGAAGAACACGATCTGAACTGCATGGTAATCATGTAACACGACATTCAGTTAGAAGATCACAAATTAACCAATGAATAAAGGAGATTTTTTTCTAATTATTGAGTAGAGATTTTGAACCTTATTTTTAAAAGGTAAGTTATAAATTAGGATTTTACTTGATCTAGAAATTTAGTTAATTTGTCAATCTTTTTTATAGCCTAATTATTAGAAAAAAGATCTTTTATTTTAGTAGAACAAAAATTCTTTCCTATGAAGGACTATTAAGGACTAGATTTGTTGATGATTAAAATTTGAAAGTTTTTATATATAAAAAAATAGCCTATCTTCAACAAAATGCGATGTTTGAAAGTTTCCATTTATAGAGTCTTCCAATTTTGTATTCTGTGATGCAGCCTTGGATGTAAATCCTGAGATGTGAATCTCAAAAGCACCTTGGCACTTCTTTCCTTTATCCTTCCTTTTCTTTTCTCTACATTTTTTTGTTAAAAATCCCAATCCTTCATAGTTCAAAACCATTATGAAACACCTCTAGTGTGCAGCAAATGATGCTTTACAATGTCCAACATATACATAAAAAATGAAGTTCGTAGACAATGTCAGCTGGTATGTACCACTCTATTGATTATCCACCCTATTTATTCTGGAAGATAACGTCAGAGGAACTGCTTGCTTCCAGATAAGATTTGCACCAGTTATACAGATTTTTAAGGGAAAAAGCATATCATTTGGGACTTCCCACCAACTCATCAACTGATGAAGATTCTAGGCTGGAGATCAAAAAATTACTGAGGCAGATATGAATAGAAGGAACAGAGTGGTTTTTGACATTACAGGTTTCCCAAAAATGTTTTTAATGTTACCAAAAAAGGCTAGTGAGCCGCACAATGCCAGGGACACGTGAGCAAAAGAAGATCTATTTTGGGGGTGAGGAAATCTCTCCTTTTATGTAGCTGTACATCCTGCAAGCAACACTGATGGGCTGCTTGAGACATTATGCGAGTACCAGGCAGTAGATTTTTGGGTTAAAAAGTAATGCAATAGTTACAACGTGGTGGCAATCTTGTAAATAAACAAGTCCAAAAGAATCAGGAATCCCTGTCAAAACAGAATCCAAAACGAAACAGGAAACCCAGAAATCGCGATCCGGTCGACTGCCAGACTTGGTCCGGTCGACCGGCCAGAGAGTTTTCTCAAACCCTGCATCGTGCAGGTTTTCCGGTCGACCAGCATGTGTGCTGCGGTCGACCGGCCAGAGATCTGCCAGTTTACCCTGTTCTTTTGCGTTTCGCTCCTGTTGACTTCTTTCGCCGTCTTCTTTGGCTCCAACCACACCTCTATTCTCAAGATATCATGAAAATCACCTATCCTCAAGCTCCCATGAGGATTGCTTTTCCGAAGAGAAGATACACCCGTATCATGACCAGATCTGTGAGGTAAACTTTCCTACAATTGCCAGTTACTATGGAGATGGATACAAGCAGCACCGTGAAAAGAAGAGCAGTTTGATATCCTAGTAGGCTAGTACACAGGCCAAAACATAATGATCTTTTAGACAGTTAAGACGTTTGCCTAATGGTTACTACTGTTGGTTATCCATATGAACACATGCACTTTGCCGACTTGTGAACTCATATATAGCCACATCCTATGCGTAGCAAAAGATGCACCCCCCCCCCATGCGGGAAAAAACCCACAAAAAAAAAGCAAAATACAGGTGAAGCAACTGCTTCAACAGAAACAGTTTGAATAAGTACCTCTGTATATACCCCAGCAAAGCCACTAAGAAGTGCCATGATCTGGAACAATACACCATTGTTAACATCCATTTCAATGTACTACTAAATAAAATATAAAGTCAAAGTTGAAACCTAACAGTTACCTGTACTCCTAATGGCCATCATCCACCCCTGAAAAGGTGTTTGAAGAACACGATCTGAACTGCATGGTAATCATGTAACACGACATTCAGTTAGAAGATCACAAATTAACCAATGAATAAAGGAGATTTTTTTCTAATTATTGAGTAGAGATTTTGAACCTTATTTTTAAAAGGTAAGTTATAAATTAGGATTTTACTTGATCTAGAAATTTAGTTAATTTGTCAATCTTTTTTATAGCCTAATTATTAGAAAAAAGATCTTTTATTTTAGTAGAACAAAAATTCTTTCCTATGAAGGACTATTAAGGACTAGATTTGTTGATGATTAAAATTTGAAAGTTTTTATATATAAAAAAATAGCCTATCTTCAACAAAATGCGATGTTTGAAAGTTTCCATTTATAGAGTCTTCCAATTTTGTATTCTGTGATGCAGCCTTGGATGTAAATCCTGAGATGTGAATCTCAAAAGCACCTTGGCACTTCTTTCCTTTATCCTTCCTTTTCTTTTCTCTACATTTTTTTGTTAAAAATCCCAATCCTTCATAGTTCAAAACCATTATGAAACACCTCTAGTGTGCAGCAAATGATGCTTTACAATGTCCAACATATACATGAAAAATGAAGTTCGTAGACAATGTCAGCTGGTCAATGGATAACGCAATAGAGTGTGGGGAAGATTATGAAAGTCTATTGCCACTCAGGTAATGAACATTAACAACTTTATATTAGGAGTAATTTAAAACTCAAAGATATGTATACATCAAAGCCTAAAACAAATGGATTATATATTATGCTTACGATGCATTAAGTTGTGCGGTAGTACAAAAAGCACATAAGAGAATAAAAGCAGCCCACTGGACTTCACTTAATCTGAAAGAGAAAGAAGAATAGCATTATGGATATGGACTAACAACAACCAAACTTCAAATAACCAGATGTAATAAACCTTGGTCATGGAAGAAGAAAAGGAAAGAATGTACTAGATATTAAAAAATATTGAATAGGAATTAATAGAACAAAGCATTAATAAAACCAGAGTAAATCTTCGAAAGAAAAGCAAACCAGAATTTCTCTTAAATGGAGAAAAACCTTACTTCCTCTTTAGAATGATACGGTATAATACACCAGTGCTGATAATATTTAGGTTCTTCAGTATCACGTAAGCAGGGGCATCCACATATTCAAAGATGTAATACTGACAACAAGCAGTTTTAACTTGATCATGTATTTTATTGTGTTATATTCAAAACCATATCACAATAAAGTAACCATAATAACACTTACCCGCAGTAAGTTCTTTACTAGGTAAAGCAATGCAGGAATAGAATAAACATTAACTTCGTTGAATGATGTGCTCAACCTGAAAATGCACGATGATACAAGTCGCCATGTGAGCACCTTTGATCGCGGAATTATCAAAGGTGGGGTTGAGAAGATAACAGTAATAACACACAAAAATTAAAGTGATGAAGGAAAATACATTCTCTAGATTATGAAGAATAAAAGATTACAAAATCTCTCCCTCACAATTTCACTAGAATAAAAAACAATCTCTCTATTCTCTCTAAACCCTAATATCTTGATTAGAATCTCTCTTTAAAATACACTCTGATGTTTAGAAACCCTAAAAAAATCCTTATTTATATGTCTAACATCGTGGATAACAATCTTGTAAATAACCAAGCCCAATAGAACTGGGATACACGTCAAAACAAGGAGTCCAGTTCGGTCCAAGAACCCGATCCGGTCGACCAACATGATTGGTTTGGTCGACCGACCAGAACGTTGGTTTCTTGACCCTGACGGTGCACGTTTTCGGTCGACCGATGTTGGTCATTTGGTCGACCGATGATGCCCTCGCGGTCGACCGATGCTCGGTCTACTGACCATGGCTGTTTTCGCCAGCTTCTTGATTTTCGTTATTTTCCTGATTTGACCGCTTTTGTCGCCTTCTACGACTCCATCCACACTTCTATTCTCAAACTACCATGAGAATCATCTATCCTCAAGCTCCCATGAGGATCACTAAGCTCCCGAAGCAAGGAAGAAGATACATCCGTATCACATAATGACATGAAAACATTTGGTTAACCCACTCAAACAAAAAATACCAGTTCATTATAGATTGCAGCATGCAAAATCTTTTAAAAGTAAGAAATGCAGGCAAGGAGCAGTGCAGGTGGGTAGATGGGTAAGTGTGTTTATCTATATATAATATAAATCAAAATCTATAATGACTAAGACATGTTTTATCAGAAGTAAAATGAAAAAAAATCTTAATTATATAAATTGATAAGTTCTAAGTAAACTAAAAAGAGTTGACAATATGCAAAATCTCAATGTGTCTTGGTTTTCACCCATCAGTCGGTCCCAAAAAAAAGCAAGTATCACCATTCATCATTAAAAGTTTCATTTAAAGCTCTAGAAAACTGAGGTTTGCATACGTTCACTAAGTTGAGTTAGGAACCTTTGACAAACATCTGACATGTAATTTCAACCACATCACTCAAAGGCCAAAGCTATAAGACTTTAAACATGCATCTAACATATATTGCTTTATATTCACTATAGATTGTAAAAGTTATCTTCTAAAAAGCACCCATTTTCGAAAGACAATAAGAATTTACTTGTTATCTTCTGTGACACCTTCCTTACTCCATATAATCAGCTTGTCCCAATAACCAAAGGGCAAGAAAACAAAACAGCAAATAACACTGATCATCATTAAAGTTTCAATTAAAGCTCTAGAAAACTGAGGTTTGTGTAAGTTCACTAAAGCTGAATTAGGAACCTTTGACAAGCATCTGACATGTAATTTCGACTACATCACTCAAAGCTATGACTTTAAACATGCATCTAACATGTACTGCCTCATGTTCAGCAAAAATCACCAAAATATTCTTCAGAAAAGCACACATTTTCAAAAGACAATAAAAGAGCTTACTTATTATCTTCTGTGACACCTTCCCTATTCCATGTTCTGCTAAGGGTTGCAAGTGATATTGCACATATACGACTTCCACCTAATTGAACATGATAAATTGTATAGTCGTATTCAATATTGTGTAAACCACTGGAAAAAAAGAAATAGATTGAGTGTGACGCCCCTGGTTTTACACAATGCTGTAGTCCAAGTTGAACCCAAGGATGTCAAACCTGCCATGCACCAATACTGTGTAATAACACATTTCACCATCACAGTAATATCTCTCTAGTGAAAACAAATAAAACAGTGTACGTACAAGCATATATAAAGGAGGTGAAAACAGGAAAATAGAACATAAAAAATAAATGATCAACATCAGAGATAATCAAGTCTCAACATAAATACTTAAATAGAAGAAAATACGTCCAACAATCTAATACAAAAGGTAAATAATCTCAACAACATGAGTTAACTAAAAAGTACATAAGCTCTCAACTCTCAAAATGAAATATAGGTCTAGTAATCGACTAAAATCATAACTAAACAATTGTAGAGCAGAAACTACTATAAATAAACGACGCTGACTATGCTGAAAGTGCGTCAACCTGCGGCTCTCCGAAACTCTAATCCGCTACCTGAAAAAAAGAGAAATCAACAGCGTAAGAGCGCTAGCAAGATCATCTCCATCCGCCACCAGAGGAAGGGCTACTAACTACTAAGTGTAATGAAGCCCCTATCTACAAGTGCATAGTCTACCTAAATCATTTGCTCTGTACTATTCGGGATTTATATTTAAAAACTCACAACACTAGACTGGTACGTCGAACGAAATAATCCAAATAAGAAAACCCTCATGTATATACAATGCGTCTCAAGTTGTGAATTTCTAAATATAATTTCCAATTAAAAAAGAAAATAATAAATAAAAATAATACAAAAATGTGTCATATCAAACAACTCCATAAATATCACCGACTCCTCACACTATCCTTAGTAGATGAAATAGATACCAATACACAATCATGTATACCCACGATGTGAAGCACCTCCACAATGATTTATATCAAAGAAAACTCAATAATCGCCTGCGACTCAGGTTATCAATAAATTCATAAAATTATTATTCATTGAAATTCTTCAACTCATCGCACTGTCGTTCGTATCGACAAATATGTATATCGACCTGTGCGCATAACCATGCAAAACAAAGATATAGGTTCATCGACCTCTGCGCACACTCGTGCGGAAACAACAATGCATTACAGAGTGAAGTCCATCGCGGTATACTGACTAACGCACTCAAAGTGTAGTCTATCAGCGGTCTCATTGCGGGTACCGACTAACCCCACTCAAGCATTCGCAGCTATAGTAAATTGTAATAATCGTCACTCGTAACGATGCAAACTATTTGACTACTCCAAACGAGGGATTCGTATGTACTCAACTCAGTATGTGTACTCCTCAAAACATGTGTATGTATCAACGTACGACTTGCACTTCACGCTCGTAAATCAAACCCACAAAAAAGAAAGCAAGAGTTCACAAACAGGGCCTGATCAGTCGACCGACATAGAGCTTTGGTCAACTGTTTGGAAAAACGCACAAGACAAAAAACACCCCGTTGGTCGACTGACACTCATGGTCGGTCGACCGACCAGGCCGAAACAGCAGGTTTTGGTTTTTAAATCAATTTTTCCTCAAAACTCGGGTTTTTATTAATATAACTGATGAAAATTGATTTTAAACTCATGAATACTTAACAAGAGATTCATTTAAATAAGATAAATCATGTAGATTCATAAAACTAGGGTTCAACATTCTAATTAACAAAACTCTTGTTTAATTTGATTAATTAGAGTATTTAAACCAAATTAAAACATAATTAACAAATTAAAAACTCTAATGATCATGATCATCTAAACTCAACAGTTACAGATTTATACTACTGTTCTTGGCATTGATTTAAGATTAAACATCATAAACTAAACTTTAATACATCATATTAATCCTAAACATGAGATTAACCACAATTATGACATAAAAACTTAATTTTTAACTAAGGAGAGGTTTGGAGGAAGATGATCTTTGCCTTTCACCACGTGCAAATCTCACAGAGGCATGCAAGACTCGATCCCTCGTCACCAAACGTTGCAAATCTCGTCCTCCTCTCGGTGTCTGCTTCACGAAGCTTTGCCAAACTTGTAATTTAGGGTTAGGGTTTTGAGAGAGGACATGGCTGGTGCTAGGGCTTAAATATGAGTAAGAAAAGAGGGAGAATTCGTGAAATATACATATATATGTATATATGAACAAATCCGATTCCAAACAATTTACCCGAAAACAGAAACCCAGTCAAACTGGGAAACTATCCGTCAGTCGACTGATGGGTTGCCATCAGTCGACTAATAGATGCCTATCGGTCGACTGATAGGTGCCTATCGGTCGATTGATGGTTTTTCATCGGTCGACCGACCGGAGGTCTGACTGAGTCATTTCATTTGTGCATGTGTGCATGTGTGCATGTTTCCACTCGTTTTGTGCATGTTTAACACTTGTATACTCTCATATATACACTTAGTTGATCTCAAATCAATTACTATCATACTCATCCATCATTAAATACTATTTATCATAATTAAAACTCATTTATCAATATTAATCACAATATTCTCAAATTTACGGGTTTTACATTAAGGTCTATAGTGTGTCATACTTAAAACATTCATGGATTGTTATGAAGCAAAATGTTTCACAATTTAGAACGAGCATACAACTTAAGACCTCTGGAATGACAAGAAGAAGTAGCCAAACTCAGTTATCATTTCTACTTAGTGCAAAGTTTGCTGTGGGCACACTGTATTCGTACTTTCCAGCTCTCTTTGACCACACAATAAGTATTGATTGTGAACTTGTAAGTATTGTCAATGCTAGTGTAAAAATTGACCTGCCATATAGATAGAATTCAATAACATTGTAGTTTGAAGCCATTTGATAAATAGTAAACAATTCTTAGGTACTCTTACTATAGTCTCCAGCTAGATTTGCTTGTCCAACTACCTATAGAGCTAGACATATTTGTCGCCAGGACTGTGCAGAATCAAGAAAATAAATGAAAAGAGAGGGGGAAAACACAATGGGACTATGAAAACAAGTAACTGGGATGTAGAAAATGGTGTATGAGCTGATTGGTTTCTTATTCATAGTTTAGGATCAATCATTCAAAACATTATGTATTTCACCTGTTAGG